CTACACTGGCGAGATTTCCATATTAGCACGCAAACTGCGTGCTGCTCAGTCCCCTTGCTCTTGCTGAGCACCACAACCTTTTGAGCTCATTGTAAGTTAAGTTAATTTAAATTAACTTAGCAATGGCAGAGCACTCTGCTCTCCTTAAGTCGCACTAACTTCGTCGTATTAACTAAGGGTTTATATTGCTTGTATCATTTAATATTTGCAGGTGGCAAAATAATCTCCCGATCTTAAGCTTTTTCTTCGCGATCGCGAAGCCGATCTCCTCCTCCTTCTGGAGACCAATCTCGAAACTAAGGACCTCAAAGGCCTTTCCATCCAAAAGTATTCTCTTCTTCGTAACAACAGACCAGACCGCAAAGGCGGCGGTTCGGCCATTTACTACAAGAAGACACTTCATTGTTTCCACATCCCCACTCCGCAGCTTACCAACAGGGAAGCCACGGTATGAAGGCTAGCCTTGAATGAACATCAGCCCATTGTCATAGTCCCCTGCTACATCCCTAGTGTAACCCTTCCCCTCAAAAAAGACTTTAAGGCTATCCTTTCATTAGGCAACTCAGTCATTATGTTTAGAGATTTTAACTCCAATCATACTGAACCTGTCTTACCACTTCTCAAAGCCTCCAGAAACTGCTTGATAACACGCAGTCTCTTGACCTTACCATTCACAGTCCTCTCGGTGTCACTCACTATCCCGACAACACCGACCACGCTCCTGACGTGCTAGATTTCGCACTAGTTAAAGGAGTTTCCCTCAACCTCAGGACAATCGAGACTCTTGACGACCTAGGATTCGACCACCGCCTGGTTTCCCTCATTCTTGGCCATCAGCTACCTCCCTCAACCCCCTCGACAAAAACTTTCACCAACTGGAAGGGCTTCAAGGAGTTTTAAGCCAAAGCTATAGACTCACAGGATTCCCTCATCTCCCATTCGTCTGACTTCGACAGTCCCGAAAAAATCGACACCGCGGTCGATTCTCTCTCCACCCTTATAAAATATAAAATTAAGGAGAATGAAAGGGTCGTCCCGGTTGCTAATAATAATGGTCTTCCCTTACATATTAGCAACCTAATGAAAGCCAAGAAAGCTGCTTTCCGGAGAGCAGCACTCTATCCCACCCCCGACGATAGGCGTACAGCCAATCGTCTTCAACGAGAAGACCGTTCACCTCTATCCGAACTTCGAGACCTCGAAAAGAGTAATCTCACGGAGAATATCTCTCCCTCTCATACAGAGTACTATCAGATGGCGAGAGCCTTCCGCATAGACGCTATCACCCACACTCCCCCTCTCTCCCGCCCCGACGGTACTATTGCCTTCGACGACGAAGAAAAGGCTGAGTGCTTTGCGTACAGCATCGCTGATCAATGCTCTCCTAGCTCACAACTCACTGACTCCTCCCACATCCAGATAGTTGAGGATGAGGTCTATAGAATAGAATAGAATATTTTTTATTCAATATACATTACATGTGTAATTCTTATTGAAAGACATTTTTTATTTTACCACTGGTTCGAAAAAAAACCCTCTGTCCTGGGAAGAACCAGCAAGAAACCCAGCGGGACTTTTTTTTTTAAATAAATTTTACAATATAAATAATTACGAACTATTTACAAAATTTATTTTAGAAACTGCTTGGAAGCGACCACCTCATTCCCAGGGGTTTTTATCAACCATGTATTCATTTATACTATAATAACCCTTTTTATACAGTTTCAGCTTAATAAAACATTTAAACTTGGTAATAAAGAGAACCTGTACACTTTCCGGGACCTTGTTGTAATAGGGTATACATTGCCCCAAGAATGAATTACTGACTCTGTGGAGTCGAGAAACTGGCATCACTAGCTTGTGTTTGTTCCTAGTGTTTACAGAATGTATATCACTTTTTTTACTAAAACTATCTTTGTTTTTGTGAACATACATTAAATTTTCGTAAATATACTGAAAGGCCAAAGTTAATATATTAATTTCTTTAAATTTATCTCTAAGAGACTCTCTCGGTTTTAGATTGTAAATAGCTCTAATGGCCCTCTTCTGTAAAACAAAAATAGTTTCTGAATCAGCCGCATTTCCCCATAGCAAAATCCCATAAGACATTGTGCTATGGAAATAACTAAAATAAACTAATCTAGCTGTCTCGACACTAGTGAGACCTCTAATATTTTTTACAGCATAGGCTGCAGAACTTAGTCTGCTTGTTAATTTGGATATATGGGGGCCCCACTGGAGCTTTGCGTCAAGAGTGATGCCAAGAAAAACAGTGGATACAACAGGGCTCAATTCCTCCCCATTTAAAAACACATTGGTATTCAGATTTTTAACATTCGTTGTTGTAAATTTAACACAATTAGTTTTATTTCCGTTCAAATGCAGATTATTAACGTTAAACCAATGCACTAATTTTGATATAGCATTATTCACTTCGTCACATTTAAATGATTGACGTTTAAGTTTAAAAATCAAGGAAGTATCATCAGCAAATAATACTATATCATGACTATCCCCTACAAGGTGAGGTAAGTCATTAATATACACCAGAAACAGGAATGAGCCGAGAATCGAGCCCTGAGGAACACCCATTAGTACAGGTGACCCGGAAGAACTTTTACCATTGATAATAACCTTCTGTTTTCTATTACTTAAATATGAAATAATAAGTTTAAGAGCTGTGTTCTTGACACCATAGTACTGTAGCTTACTGATTAATGTCTCATGGTGAACACAGTCGAAGGCCTTGGAAAGGTCACAAAATATACCCAAAGCATCCTCTGAATTCTCCCATGCACAAAAAATATGTTTAATAAGCTCAACTCCAGCGTCAGTTGTCGAGCGACCCCTTTAAAACCGAATTGATTTTTATGTAGCAATTTATTAATATTAAAGTAACTTAACATCTGATCTAAAATAATTTTTTCAAAAATTTTACTTAATGTTGGTAGTACAGAAATTGGTCTAAAATTGGTGGGGTCTAATGTACTACCAGATTTAAATATAGGTATGACTTTACTATGTTTCATTAAATCAGGAAACACACTAGATTCGACGCTTATATTAAATATAGTGGCTAGATAAGGTGCTAATATATATATTATAGATAAAATAACTTTAACGGAAATCCCCCATAAGTCTGCCGTTTTCTTAACATCAATAGTTTTTAAATATTTAGCGATATCTTTTGGCAGTATTCTATGGAATTTAAAAGTATTTGAACAAGCCTTTACATTTTGTTTGAGCAATGATTCGGCGACAGTAGGTGAAGAATTTAATGATTTTGTTGTCAAAAAAGGAACAGTAAAATGTTTCTCAAAAGCCATAGCAATTTCTTGATCAGATCGCGTTAAATTATTGTTAATATTCAATTGAAAATCCGAGTTGCGCGGTTTGACCTTGCCCGTTTCACTATTTTTTATTCTCCAGGTCATTTTAATTTTGTCACATGCAGTTTTAATTTTGTTGCTTATATGTAAAGCCTTAGCAGTGGAGCACACTTTTTTAAATATTTTAGAATATATTTTTACATAATCTCTAAATATAGCACTACTATTATATGATCTTTCATCATAAAGCTCGTATAACCTTCGCCTACTTTTATAAATTCCTACTGTCGCCCATTCATTAAATGATTTGTGACTGTTCAAAGAGAAAGTTTTAGAAGTAAATATTCTACTAAATTCACAACTTATAATTTCAAAAAATGTAGCATACAAATAATTAGAACTATTTTTAAACGAAAGTGATGGAAGTCTTTTTATTATATTACTTCTAAACCTCTCCATGCGATGTTAATTTATTGGAACAAACACAACTTTCTTAGTATTCTGTTTATTGTGTATGTAAGGTAGTGATACTAACTGTCCACAGTGATCTAAACTTAAATTTTGAATAATTGATTTATGCAAGGGCTTAACATCTGTAAAAATGTTATCTATACAGGTCGCACTAGGCCCAGCAATACGTGTTGGTTCTAAGAATAAATTTACAAGATTATACGATTTAAACAATGAGCGAAACTTAATACTAATGGAAAAAGTTTCAAGGAGATTGATATTAAAGTCTCCACACATTACAACAGACTTGTTCTGTTTACTAAGTTTGAGTAAAACTTCTTCCACAATCCTTTCAAAATGGTCATAAGTAGCACATGGGGGTCTGTAAACACTTACAACAATGAGGTGCTCAAGCTCGACACAAGCCATTTCTACAGTTCGTTCAACAGAGAGGCTCACAATATCCTTACGTTCTTTATATAATAATGATTTATCTGCTAATATTAAGGAGCCACCACGTAAACTTTTTCCTCTATTGAAGGAACTGACCACCTGGTGATTTCTGAAATTAGACATGAAATTATAATCTTTTAGCCAATGTTCAGTAATACAAATGTGGCGGATTGGGATTATTTTACTAGATATAGTGGACTGTATTGAGAATCTAAATCCCCTGAAACGTTCAGTTACCGCAGTCACAAAATCACACCAAAAACAGCAACAAACTACTCACGGTCTTACTAGCCAGCCTCCCAAGATCAGCAAACGTTGACAGCTCCTGGTAGCTTCTTCTACACGGTAGAATACACTAGCAATTAGATTGTACACGGTACACTCTGGAGTAGTCCCTTTTTAAAGTTTTTGGAGAGATGTTCACATCACGAACACAAAGAGAATGTGTATGGCTTGTCTCGCCTCCTACCCTCCTCTTCTCTTTTTTTTAACTTCACAGATTATTACAACGCATATTACGTCGCAATGTTGCCACTAGGTGTGACCGGCGCTCCGATCGTAGCAGATCATTGTGCCTCGGTATAAATTTTGTGAGTTGCGGTTTATTACTGAACACACCCCCCACCGAAACCATCTTGATGGTTTCTCCTAACTATATGAAAAAGATATTAGAGAAAATATTATAACTTAAGCTACGGAACATGCAAAATAACGCTGAGACACAGAATGTCCTCAACGAGAAAAAAAAAATATTAATACACGTAAAAACTAATTTGAATAAGGTAGAGGACTCAGTTTATTAACTGGTCTCTGTAGAGTACTCTTTTGAGTGCGAAGCGTAACACAACGAACAATCCCATCTGGACCGGGGTGAAGAGCCTCAATTCTACCCAAAGGCCAATTGCACGGCGGTACATTATTAGTTTTTATGATTACGAGATCACCTATTTTTATATTAGATCTATCCGAATGCCACTTTGCTTTCTGTTGCAGCGTATTTAGATATTCGTGACTCCATCTACGCCAAAACATTTGTGAACATTTTTGAATATATTGCCAACGTGATAATCGATTTATTGTTATATCCTCTACATTATACTCAGGTACTGCTGTTAACCCTTTTCCAATTAGAAAGTGTCCCGCAGTCAAAACGTTGAACTCATCAGGATTATCACTAGCTGGTAACGGACAAAGCGGCCGCGAGTTGAGAATCGCTTCTACTTTACAAAACACTGTTGTGAGTTCCTCGAACGTCAAACTTTTTTCTCCTACGGCTCGCGTTAATAGATACTTGGCGGATTTAATTCCAGCTTCCCAGAGCCCACCCATATGTGGTGCACCAGGGGGATTAAATCTCCATATAATTTGTCGTTTTGAGCAACCCTCTAATATATTGTTTTTTTGTTCGAGCATAAATCTTTGTACTTCGGTTAAATGCTTACTAGCAGCTATGAAATTAGTTCCGCAATCCGAATAAAGGAAGGAGCACACACCGCGTCGCGCTACAAATCTGTCTAAACACGCGAGGAAACAGTCCGATGACAACGACGATAAGACTTCAAGGTGTACAGCTTTTGTCGAATAACAAATAAATAATGCTAAATATGACCGTTCAACCCTAGCATTTCGTCGTAAACTTTCTTTTGTAAAGAACGGACCACCGAGGTCCACCCCTACATGCTCAAAAACATTACAAGGTATCAATCGGGCGGCTGGCAAAGGTGCCATCTCAGGCTGTAAGAGCACTGGGTTGTGTTTAAAACAAATTTTGCATTTGGACAAAACTGACCGAATAATGCGACGGGATGCTAAAATCCAAAAATTTTGATTAATAATGTTTTGTAAGGTGCGTGGACCTACGTGTAAATATTTTTTATGTAAATATTCAATAAGTAAAAAGGTAAATCTACTATTTTTAGGTAATAAACGAGGATGCTTCGCGTTATAAGGTAACGCTGAATAATTTATTCGACCCCCCACCCTGAGGTATCCGCGTTCGTCAATAAATGGAGATAATTTTCTCAACGACGGAACGTACTTTGTGCCCTTTGACAATCTATTTATTTCATTTGCGAAGTATGCACTTTGTACTAATTTAATTAAAACATCTTGGGCAGTATTTAATTCGTTAGTCGTCAGTATTGATTGCTTCGAGTGACCGGATTTGAGTCGGAACCATCTCAATATTCGAGCAAACGTACGTTGCAGTTTATAATAAGAAGAGAAATTGGAAAAGATTCGGTCACAGAACTCTAACTTAGTCTCCTCTATCGAATTATTTTCATTTGTGATTAAATTGAAGGAGCCTAATGTATGATTTGATTTCATTTCGGGTGTATTACTTTCATGTTGGTTGATAAATGTTCTCACTGGCCACTGCGAATAGTCGTCGTACAACCAAGATGGGCCCTTCAACCACTGCTCACTGCACTCCACGAGCTGTGACGGAGACGCTCCGCGCGAGCATATGTCTGCCATATTGCACTCACTACTCACGTGACGCCAACAGTGTGGAGGTAACACTTCACATACCTGAGTAACACGGTTACTAACAAACGGCTTTAATTTGTAAGCTTCTGTCTGAAGCCACGTCAACACGATAGTCGAATCGGTTAACGCAGTAATACGAGTAATTTTTACACGAGTTAAAATGTCACGGACATATCTCATAGTTAATGGTTTGACGGGGGCTACTTTAGATTTTGCTGTCACCAGGCGTACTTTAGTTTGACCTCTATCGTTACGACTGATCACATACACACAACTAGCATAACCGCGAGAGCTTGCATCGCAAACGGCGACCAATTCACATTCGGTCTGTTCTGGTAGCAGCATATGTCTATCTATCTTGATTGCCGTTAGTCGCGGGAGATCATCAACGTAATTAAGCCAGCGCTTAGTTACGTCAGTTGGCAGCTGCTCATCCCATCCTATGCCCAGCTTCCATAAATCTTGCATTATCTCTTTCGCGATGAAAATGCACGGTGAAATAAAACCCACGGGGTCGTAAATAGAAGCTAATAATTTTAAAACAGAACGTTTAGTTGTTACTTTATCAGTCTTATCTACTGTGAAATAAAAACAGTCAGTCAAAGGGAACCATTTCAGACCTAGCACTTTGACTGAATATTTGTTACCATCTTTCATAAATGTAACAGGACACTCTCGGTTTTCTAACGGAACGCGTTGTAAAACTTTTGCACTATTACTCGCCCACCTTTTGAGTATAAAGCCACCGGAATTAAACATCTCTAAAAGTTCATCTTGTAACCGAGATATCTGTGACAATGAACTACAAGAATATAGAATGTCATCCATGTACACGCCCTCGCGCACAACCTTTGCAGCGAGTGGGAAACGTTCTTCCTCGTCATAGGCTAACTGTAAGAGGGTGCGGATAGCTAAGAACGGTGAGCAACTTAAGCCATAAGTGACAGTTTTTAATTCATAAACGTCAATGGCGTCGTTAGGCGAATGACGATACAAAATATGTTGATAACATCTATCTGACTGATTCAGTTTAATTGCCCGATACATTTTGCATACGTCACAAATCAAACAATATTCAAACAACCTAAAATTCAATATTATAGCCCCAATATCTCGATACAGATTAGGCCCGGTCAATAGAATATCATTAAGCGAAACGTTCGTGGACGTTTTAGCCGAGGCATCGAATACCACACGCAACGGAGTAGTGGAACTACTGGGCTTAAGTATACTGTGATGAGGTATCACATATTTGCTTGGGGTGTCCCCCGAATAAAGCTCCATGTGCCCTAGATTTTCATATTCGCACATGAACTCTGAATAGGCTTGTCGTAATACAGGTGAACGATTCAACTTGCGCTCGGTGAACAAGAGTCGCCGCTCGGCTGCCGCTCGTGACGCGCCCAACGGAGGCGGGTCTGGTATGAATGGTAACGGCACTGAATAGGTACCATCCTCAGTACGACTATAACGAGCCACGAAAATGTCTTCCGCTAATTGTTCCAAAGGATTAATCGAGGGTTTGCTTGGCAATTCTTCGATTTCCCAAAACTTACGCAACGTTTGATCTAAAGACTCTTGTTCATCAAATGAGACTGATAAATTATAATTTTTTAAATTGTCCTTATCATTGCTATAAAGTTTACCACTTACAACAAACCCGAAAGCGGTATCGATCACGCTTGGTATATCCGATGAAATAATATATGGTTTATCCTTAATTAGTTCCGAAACTATATCATTGCCCAATAGTATATCGATACGCGAACGCTTATAAAATAATGGATCAGCTAAATTAAAAGTCTTATATTTATTAATAACGTCCGAGTGGAATCGAACGTTAGGCATATCAGCAGATACCTTAGTCACTACGACCATGTTCAATGTAAAACTAGGTAGGTCAGTGTGTAGGGACCTTAATGTGCATGTAATCATGCCGTGATTTTTTACAGCCTCTCCACCGAGACCATAAATATTAAACGAACACTTCTTTCGAGGTAAGCCCAAACGTTGAGCACACTCAGTTGTAATAAATGAGCTCTGAGCTCCAGAGTCAATAACTGCACGGCAGTATTGAAGCTGGCCGCTACTATCAATTACTAACACGCGCGCCGTTCCCAATACAACACCGTAACCCGAGTGAGCGTTATTGGAATGAAGCGTATCTATCGTATAACGCTCTGAGTCACTCATAGCCTGAGACGAGACGAGTGCTTGTTGCACTTGCGAGTCAGAGCACAATGGACGGGTGGATGTTGGCACGAGCGTGTCGCTCACTGGCTCCCTATGCAATAGATAATGATGTAGTGACGCACATACACCACAAGACATCTCACTTTTACAAGTTGAGGTATCATGATTTCCTTTTAGGCAATTATGACACAATTTTAAGGTATTGACACGGTCAATCCTTTTATCTACGGTCAATTTACGAAATTGATCGCACCTATAAATCATGTGATTTTGATTGCAATGCGCGCAAATTATTTTTTTATTTTTATTATAATTTGACACATTAGTATTTAAAACTGTCTTTGAATAACTTTTGTAGTGGTTATTATTGTTGCCTTTGTAATTGTTACATATAGACTTATTTCTTGATTGTAACGACATCGTACTATTCGATGAATGTTCGAGTACTTTAACTTGTTTATTTACAAAACTAATTAATTCCGAAAAAGATGGAAGTGAATTTTGCTCCCGATTTTCTTCAAAAAGCCTCCTAGTATGCGCATCCAACCCACGTAAGGCTAAATGACAAAATAAATAGTCATGTAAATTTTTAATTTTTAATGCCTCGATGGCTTTAAAAGAGTGATCGAATGTTTCGATAAATAAAGTAAGATTTGCGGTAGTGTCTTTATTTAACGGCGTAAAGTTTATCATTTTGTCGATGTACCTACCCACGAGTATTCGATCATCTTGATATTTATTACATAAACTTTGCCATACGACAGTATAATTAGCGGCTGTTATGGGCAATTTTTTAACAATGTTTAATGCCGAACCTTTAACACATGAAAGCAAATAGTGAAACTTATCTATTTCGTCGAAATCTCGATTGTGGACAAGTGATACAAATGTATCGTAGAATGTGGTCCACTTCTCAATATCACCATCGAATTCAAATAAACGTAATTTAGGTAATGACGGCCTTACATCACTCCTATCTTTCCTACTGAGGGATGCCTGCTCGTCCGGTTTTAATCTTAAATATTGCAACCTACATGCCTTATAAAGTTCATCAAATGTATCTAATTCTCGCGTTGACAATCTTGTCTCCGGTTTTAATGATATATCTATTTCAATAATATTTAACACTGTTTCTTCAAACTTTGAGCGGACACTTTCTAATCCGGAATAATCGGCTAAGAAATTCTGAATTTGTGTGGGATCATTTATTTGGGATCTCGCGATATCGAAAACCTTTTGTAATTTAGCAAATAGGTATTCCTTTTTAAAAATAAGTGTTTGCCTTTTTATTTGTAATTTATCCGACATTATGAACAAATTACAAAATTAATACTTTATAAACGCACCGCGAGCAATGGACATCCAGGTAAAAAAGAGGCAAATTAAATAAGGGATATTAAATTAATTAAATGCGTAGTTTTACTCAAATATATGACGTCCACGGGACGCGAATTAAGGGTAGAAAATTATTATTCGAAGATCACTAATTCGAATATATCCGGCTCGAAGGCCAGAAATGTGGCGGATTGGGATTATTTTACTAGATATAGTGGACTGTATTGAGAATCTAAATCCCCTGAAACGTTCAGTTACCGCAGTCACAAAATCACACCAAAAACAGCAACAAACTACTCACGGTCTTACTAGCCAGCCTCCCAAGATCAGCAAACGTTGACAGCTCCTGGTAGCTTCTTCTACACGGTAGAATACACTAGCAATTAGATTGTACACGGTACACTCTGGAGTAGTCCCTTTTTAAAGTTTTTGGAGAGATGTTCACATCACGAACACAAAGAGAATGTGTATGGCTTGTCTCGCCTCCTACCCTCCTCTTCTCTTTTTTTTAACTTCACAGATTATTACAACGCATATTACGTCGCAATGTTGCCACTAGGTGTGACCGGCGCTCCGATCGTAGCAGATCATTGTGCCTCGGTATAAATTTTGTGAGTTGCGGTTTATTACTGAACAACAAAGGATGTGTATATTATTACGATTTAGAAACAATTCAACTTCCAATTCTTTGCCCAACATGCCTTGTATAT